GGTATTCGGTAAACGGGTACTTACCGGGGTATCCGGATGGTTACAGTCTAGGACGACATCTTCAGTGGTGTCCGGCCATTGCCTTCGTTTACCGAAGAATAATCTCCATATTCCTTTGTGCATAGTGTCAAAGAAGTGCTGAAGAGTTCGCGACCCCTCTGGATTGAACTCCCATAGGAAGAGAGGGCGTCGCTGGCACGGCAGGGTCCGACGAACTAGCATTACTTGAACGACGTTGGCTATGTCGATGTCCCTCTCAATGAGGCTTCGGATGCGACTCTGCAGAGTTTTCACATCATTCGTTGATCCCCAATCTAGCCCCTTGTTAATCAACAATGCAAGGTGAGTTGGGGGCTGGATCGAAATGCAGGCACAGTTGCCCACTTGGAGCTGCGGGGCTCAGTAATATAGAACCACCCCTGCTGCCACATATCGGAAGATTTAGCGAAGGATCCTTTCAGCCAAACAGCGCTAGCATGCTTGCTCATTGTAGCGCCGCCGCACTCGGCCTGCTTCCCCTCTACCACTTGCGGATTCACATCGAAGGTCTTGAGCCACAAGCCGAAGTGCGGAGTAGTTCGGAGGAAGGCTTCGCATGTGATGATAAACGCCGCAATAAGAAGAATAGAGTCCAGGGCCAGATCATGAAAATATATCCCATAATAGAACATGAGCCCTCGGACGAAGGGGTTAAGTGCAAACCCTAACCCGCAGAGGAAGTGGGACACGAACACGACCCTCTCGCCGGATCTGGGGGTGGGAATAACCTGCCCCTCGGCAGGAAGCCGGTGATAGATTTCTGCGGTTAGGTACCTCGTCATCCGAAGCTTTGTGATATCTTCCTCGGTGGCAGAAGAAGCTACCCACCGGCCTTGACGGCTGGATCCGGACATGATTGGGGCTTGTGGCGACCGAAACCCGGGTGTTGGAACTCGGGGTTGCAGGGGTCGAGGAAGAGGCAAGCTTGGAAGAAAAAGACGGGTCTATACCCCTATATAAAGGCTGCATATATCAAACGTCTCCCCTTGGCCCTCAAAAACTTGCTTGTTTCCAGGGAGTTGTACCCAAGCGATGGTTGGGTTACCCACGTCCAGGTTGACAGGAATCCCTTAAAAAAGGGAGGCATGATCTCTGCTTGGATAAGACGCGCCTATATGGCCACGTCTTAGGACGTGGGGTGATGGGCCGGCAAAAACGGTTCGCAAGGAGTGGCTAGGCAGGCGTGGTGTCATATTATCAAAAAATGTACGATGGGTTGAACTCGTGAAATATTATGTCCTCTGCGGCTATGTATACCAGTCCAGATATAGTCATCACATCTGAAGATCAACTATGAGTTCAGAAGGGGGAACCCACCTTGCAATGCCGAAGACAATCTGCGTGCTGGACTCCTCGTCATTGAAGCCACGTTCAGGGGCTACTGAGGGAGTCCTGGACTAAGGGGTCCTCGGGTGTCCGGCCTGTTATCCATGGGCCGGAGTGATGGGCTGTGAAGACATGAAAGCCGAAGATTGTACCCATGTCCGGATTGGACTCTACTTGGCGTGGAAGGCAAGTTTGGCGACCGACTACGAAGATTCCTTCTTATATAAGGCCAACTCCACCACGCGACCCCAAACGGATGTCCGTTTTGTCCGGATTCTGTCCGTTTGGGTAGCGATTTGGGGTCATGTTCGGGCGTGTCCTGGGATGCGATGGCCATGCGCCCAGCGCGCGGCCTCATCCATTTGCCCCATCCTGTCCGCGTCTATTTAAAAAGCAGAAGCAATGTTTCAAATGCCAAGCCCTAGTTCAGGCCAGCGGCCCCGGTTCATCACGCCGGCAATAGAGCCAGCGACCTACACATCCATCGCCGGCATCAGCCAGCGGCCGGCAACACAGACAGCCTCCAAAATGAATAGTTGTCCTCGTCGGCAACACAGCCAACGGCCGGCAACACAGCCGGCCACCAAAATGAATGTTTTCTCACCGGCACACAGCCAGCGGCCCAGCGGGCGGGCGGCACCCATGCCAGCCTCCAAAAAGAATGGCCACGGCCGATCGGACGACCTAGTTCAGGCCTTCGACTTCGAGCATCTCCTTCTGCTTGGCCTCGAACCAGGCCCTCGTCTTGTCGCTCATCTTCGACAAGTCCACGCTCATGATCGCAAGGGCCACCTCCTTCGCTTTGGTGGCGGCGTTCGTGGCCTCGATGTCGAGCTGCCTCTGCCTGGCCTAGATGTTGTCGGCCTCGATGTCGAGCTGCCTTTGCCGGGCCGCCTCCTTCATGTCGATCTTCCTCCTCTTGGCCGCCTGCTCCATCTCAAGCTTCTTTGTATGAAGGTCTAGGTATTGCTTCATTTGCTCCTCCTTGCTTTGCCGCTTCTTCTCGTCCCTCACATCCTTTTGGGACATCATGCCATGCAAAGTGTCATGCAATGCCATGGATGAGGCATCACGTATGTCATCAACCTTGGAGTTGGTCTTGCCCCTCGGCCTTTTCAAGGCCTCGCCATCTCCACCTTTGGCGTACTTGGCCGTCTTTAGTCCTCTCTTCCTTTGTAGTTCACAGTATTGGTCCTTAACCTTAGGGAAATTGTTGATGATCATCCAACAATGCGTAAGAGTGAATGGCTTGTCATTGTGTCAGGCCTTGAATGCCTCCAAAGATTGTAATGCCTAAATCACATGATCAACAACAAGTGAACATGCAAACATATACACGGCCGAAGTGTCATGGCCGTAGCAAGGAAAGGGCTAGGAAGAGGAGAGCATACCATGTCCCCAACGCCGAGACCACTCACGGGCCGTGCTTCAACGCTCTCAAATGCGGCGTAATACTTGTTGCACTCTTGTTGGATGAACAACCATCTCTTTTGAATCGAGTCGATGCCATGGTTGCTTGTAAATTGGTAGGGCTCAAACATCTTCCTTTCATGGAATGTTTTGTGAACTCTCGTCCAAAAAACAATGCACTTTTGTTGCGCGCCGGTCCTCGGATCTTGGCTAATCTCCATCCAAGCTTGGCAAATCAACTTGTCCTCATCTTGTGTGTATGAACCCGTGCGAATGCTCTTCCTCTTCTTTTGTGCTTCCGCTCTTTGGGTGAGCTCGTTGATGAACAATGGCTCGCCACTAATATCAACGTCATTGCCTTCTTCTTCATCACCGTCACCTTCGACATAGATGTCATCGTCTTCATGCCACGAGTCACCATGGTCGTAGTCAGCACGGTCGTCGGCCTCTTCATCGGGCACGTACTGGGCGCGACCATCCTGACTTTGGGTCTCCTCGGGGTCATAGGCACGGCCATGCCCACCCTCGAAGATCACGTCCTCCATGTCTGGTTGTAGAAGGGGTCGTCGACCGTTGGCGTTGGTGTTGGCATTCCGTCAAACAAGACGCGGGGGGGGGGGCATGGTGCCCGTGAACGGTGCCCGTACTTGCTTTCTTTGCATCTCGACGGACGCCCGGCCGCCGCTGCTGGACCCAGGCGTGACGTTGAGGTCGATGACGGCCGCGGGACGCGGTGTGGACGGCGCGAACAAGCCCACGTCCGGCGACCTTGAGAAAGGGGTCTGGCCGTCATGCCTTAGCGGAGGAAAGCCGGGTGACATGGGCGCGGTCCGCGACTGGCAGTGCGGAGGCCGGGCGACCGGCGAGCCTGTGCTCACGGGGCCAGCGGCCGCTGCAGGGAACCCGGACGGACGGCCCATGCCAAGCATGAGGATGGCGTGCACTTTGTTGAGGAGGTCCTCCTTCTCGTCGGCAGAGGCCTTGCGCCGCGCGGCCTCCAGCTCCTCGCGCTGTGCGGCGAACTTGGCCGCGGCGGCATTGACCTTGACGACCGCTCTCCGTTCCCTCCTCTTCGCCGATATCACGTCTAACTTGGCGATCTCCTCCGGCGTGCACTCCGACCGCGGCTTTCTTGGCGCCTTCTTCTTCACCTTTGCGGGCGGGTCGACGGCCAGGCCGCCGGAACTCGGCGGGGCGTCGGCCATGGACGGGGGAGAGAGGGGCGGCGGGAGGGACGTG